CAAAAACAAAAACAAAAACAAAAAAACTAAATAAGGAAAGGCTGGAACCTACCAACGCTGGCTGTAGGTGTCATGCACAATATTGAGCCTGCCCATCATGCAGTGCAACAGGAAGTGGATTGGGTTGGGAAGAGAAATCAAAACAGCCCATCACAAGATTCGTTAGAGGGAAGGGAGAGATAACGTGGGAGAAAAGGTTAATATTTCCCAAACACAGACATCAGTGACTGGAGAAGGTGCAGAGGTGACTAAGACTTTTGTCTGAAGAATAGAGTAGTGTTTAATTTGATAAGTGTCACAGGAGGAGAATCAATAAAACCATCAAACTTTAAATACAGATTTCAGCATTGAGCCCAAAGCAAAGTCTCAGAATCACGAGTAGCCCCCTGTACACTGTTCTGATACAGTCTGATTACAGTTTATTCCATATTTAGCTAATTGCATCCACAATTTTCACTAATCTCAATAGGTTGATATTTTTAATACAATTAGTAGGAAGAAAGAGATTAAAACCCCGTTTTAACTTATAAGGCCATGCAATTTCATACAAAGCACATATATAAGCTCTCCCATTACACTACGAAAATGACATGCAGTGTCTTGCTTAAGTCCTTATCTCATTTAAATGTTGCAACATTTTGTTACACCACAACCTACCAAAGGCTTTAGCATGTGTTTGTAGCCCCTCAGTATGATGCCGCCACTACTGTGTTTTGTCGTTAAGGTATCATTGGACAAAAAAGGTTTCTTCAACTCCAGGTCTTTAGGAGACCTGGTGTCCTGCAACCTTAAAACATCTCCATTCTCCAACATACCAAAATAAATGAGAGGTTCATGATAATTCTGCTGCTGAACTTGCGAATGTCCTTGAGGAGGAGCAGATGCATCTAACAGCTGCACGAAAATCACTCTTGATATCTGAAGTTTGAGAATGCTGGATCTAGAGTTCAGGTTTTCCTCCACATTTAGAGCTGTGTCATTTGTGTTTGACCTCATCCAGAGCTACCATTAGCCTCTTTGCGACCTCCAGTATCTGTAGTAGTCATAGTCTTGGTAGGATCCCACTTTGTCTTACGTTGAATAAGATCTAAGGTCACTTCAAAGCTTGAGATAACGTTTTATAACGCAGGTCTGCTTCATACTTATCTACTTACTACCTACATATATACATACTAATCTCTGACCTTTCTGATGTTTTCCTGGTTCTATTTATTAACACCTGTTTACAAAAAAATCCTGAAGCCTTCACTGAAAAATCTCTAAACTTTCAGTTCAGGTATCGGAGTAAAGGGGGCCGTAAACAAACGTGCTAAGCATTTGGTAAGTGTTCTGTAAAGAAATGCACAAAACTTGTTCTCATTTAACATATAAAGACTTTGTTTTAGCCTACATATCCTTTCATAACAAAACTGGAACATCCACTGTTATGAAAACTTCTGCAAGCCACTGGATGTGTTAATTCTGTCGGTTAGATGTGGAAGTTGTTGTTGTTTACTTTGTACTGTAATTTCCTCCTGTCTGATAAATTGTTGAACTATTGCACTGAAATATGCTGCTATCTATCACACAGCTGAACCCCAGCCAAGCAAAGGAGCCAGGTTAGAGTGATCCACCATCCACTGGCTGGTTGCTCCGGAAGCCATACCTGATGGGAGGAAAGCAGCCTGCTGCTGAAACTGCATGCTGGCCAGGGCTTGTTGGTACTGAAGCATGCCGGTGTTAAACATGGCTGTGGCCCCGTTGGCCTTCTCCAGGGCTGCCCGCTTTGGGAGGGGAGCCATGACACTAGGGGTGATGCCCTGCCCATCCACATGGAGGGAGGACAGCGAGAAAGAAAATAAATAAAAGGCAGAGATAGACAGGAAGAGGTGTGTGGAATTTAGAGAAGGTGTGTTAGAAAGAGGCAAAAACAGGGAAGAAAACAAAAACAACGTTAGAGACCCTCAGAGAAACAGTCACAACATCTTTGTGTACAACAATTACAATATATCATCAGTAGCAAGCAAGCAGCAGTCTGACACAAATACTACACAAGCAGGAGCATGATGCCTACTGGAGCTATGAGCTGACAAGCATTTAATATTAATTAAATAGTTATAATTAACTTTACACTCATAAGGCCGACTTATAAAGCAAGCATTAACCATTAAAACAACAAGGCTGCTAACAAAGTGAAACAGGTAGTAAGCACAGAAAAAGGGAGGCTGCACTGCTAGCTCCATGATAAACTGTATAAGCCATGTTTAAGTGATGGTTCACTCTCAGAAAAACAACAAGAACAAAAACAATCAAAAATGGTTTAAAGCCAAGAAAAAAAAAAAAGTTCTTTATTTGCAAGGCATAGCACACTATATATCTTGGCATTAGGCCATTCTTGACTTCTGAGTATTTGTGACAAGATCAAGAGATGAGTGAACTATCATTTTTTCCCCCTTTTTTTTAAACAATTAACCCGATAAGGTAGGATCACTCTTGATTGGTTAGCCTAGCCCCCACCCACATCCATATCACATGCATTAGCAACACAGACATGCACATAATTGGTTGACACTAACAATTAGACACAAGACCAAAGCCATGCCACTTTTATAGAAGCTCTGCTTCCCTAACCCTCGCTAACTTTTGTTAAAAAGGCTGCAGGAAATGAAATGATCGTGGCTCCCAATTGCAATCTGCACCACCAAATTTGTGTTTTTTCCGACGCACAAAGCTTTAAGTGCAACACGCCACAATCATTTCATCACAAGCAGATATTACAAAGTATCAAGAGGAAAAGAAACACACATTGCACTGAGACAAACAGTGTGAAAAAGTAGCTAGGTATCTTTGGTTAAAACACTGCTGCACAACAAAGCCACATGCGTGCCAAGCTAAAAGGTGAAAGGTCATAGTACCAGGTCAAAGGTTGCGTCGAGGGGTCGCTTCAGTGATTTGACAGCCGACTGAGTCTTAATTAGCAGGCAGCGAGCACATGATGGCAATGGGCCAATGGGGTTCAAGCGCATTAACATAAACCAGCAAGCAGAGGTGCATCATGGGGGCAGCAGTGCAGTTTGGGTACAGGTGAGAAAAACAAAACAAATAAAAAAAACAAATCATTGGAATGCAATATACAAAGGGGATAACAGGGCTAATGCATGCACAGTGTGGACATTAGCTCTACTACTCAACAGTTAAATCATCATCAGAGAGATGATAACTACTGGTCTACAGAGGTTATTTTCACACAGGAATACATGAAAACAGAAAATTATTCAACATGTAATTAATAAAGAGCCGCAGGGAATAAACAGCAAAATGTATAGAGGTTTAATTTGACATTTTTTCTGTTTCACTGTGCACACTGTAGTCGGGTTGACATTACAATGATTCACCCCCATGTTCTCTGTATTGCTGTACCACTAAAAGCACATGTAGAGATTAACGGACGTGTGTGGCTGCACTAGAATTCACCGGCACCGTTACAGCAGGAAAAGACAGAAGGCACAATGAAGTTTTAAATAATATTAAGAGGAAGAGAAGTTGTATAGAGGAACAACAGAAACAATGGGTCATAAATGAGGGCAGCCTGAGAGAGAGAGAGAGAGACAGAAAAGGAACTGGATTCTGCTCGTTGTCTGAGATGAGATGAACGAGGAACGAAACATTCGGTTTAACAAAAGAGGAAGCAAACCGCTTGACATAACAGCAGTCCTGGTTACAGTAGACTATTGTCTTGTCCTTCTTCATGTCATCCAGCACTGAGCAGATTTGACCCCAAACCAACATGCAGACCTTTTTAATATTTGACCTGGCAAAAGCAGAACTGATAATGTTACACAAAATAAAAAACAATTAGGAAAGCGAGACATGTTCAAACATGAAGGTGATCATGAGTCTAAGGGCATAAACTCTGCAGGTACTTTATCTTAAAACTGTTAGGCTTGCTGTGAATGTAAAAACTCCTTACTCTGCATTTTGTGGGCTTTAAATGAGTGCAGCCTTACTAAAAGCGAAAGCTCACCATGGCCGCGGCAGCCGTGGCCTGGTTCACCTGATGCTGGGTGGCCTTAATTTTAGCCTGCAGATGGGCAGGAGGGTGGAAGTACTTGCACTTTTCCCTAGTGCACCGACCCTTGATGTAGTCCATGCACACGGTTACGGTGTTATCGTTGGTGTCGATCATGGTGCTATCTGCGGGGTGAGCGAAGCGGCACTCGCCCTCCCCCCGAGCACAGTTTCCCCTCTGATACTCACGACACACCTGAACAACACAGAGGGATATCAAATAAATATCAAAAAACAGTGTGAGACAGCTGACATGTATAAACATGTTTTAGTTAAGCTCACAGCTTGCTTTTGAATAAATTACAATTAGCAAACAAGATGTTGATCAGAAGTTATTTTAATAGAATCCATTAAATGTTTTAAAGTTCTTTTAATATTGATTCATGACTACAAACAATCAGTAGTAGCAGAATTCTAACAAGTAGAAAATGTCTGAGCAATCAGTGAGGCTATCTGCTCAGATAGCTGATCTGCAATCAGCTGCTCTGCAGGCAAACTGATGATAGCTTGGCAGATGTAGCTTTGAAATAAAGCTACTCTGATAACAGTGATCTTTGGGACTTCATCACTATTTGTTTTCTGAAAAAAAAAAACTGTTTGAGCATTTTAAAGATTTTGAAACTAACTTTAAAAAAAAAGTTTTTAAACAAACACTAACTAGGCTTCATCTAGATGAGACAGAGCACTAGCATCAGCCATATAGTAACATGGTAAGAGTAAAACATAATAACTTGAAAGAGCACAGGGTCACTGACTAAAATTGGTAAATGGAAAATATAAAAATAAATCTTAAAGTTGCTGAAAAATCTCTGTAGCAACCAATAATCAAAACACAACCGGTGTCTTTTAACTACCTATTAATAGACACCAGCCTGTTGATTTAAAAATGTAGAATAGAATTGGGTTAAAAATGTATTCATCTAAAAAACACAACAGATGCATCCTATAATCATATAACACACAAACTGACTGAATTTTCTCTTAAACAGACTTTTTAGCGGTTTTACAGCTTTTTCAGCTGATTAATAAAAGGGGTAAAGTGGATTGCATTGTCCTCAAGTTAAACCATAAGGATACAATCTATGCAGCCCTTTTTCTTCTTAATAAGGAATGTAAGAGGTGATTTAAGAAATACATGTTCTTTATTTGGAATATTCATTATTTTCTTACACTTGAAGTTAATAACTTAATTTCCAGATGCATCTGAAGAATTTTTTGTTGAGTGCAGCGGCTAGTTCGAACACTTGGAAAGTGTTAGAGTTCAAGAAAAGAAAGCAACCTTTTCTTTTTGCTTAGTCATTACATTATTGGTCAAAATTGTTCCTTTTAAAATGTATTCATTTACTTGCTTTATTGCATGATAACGGGACACAGTTAAGACATGAAAGTAAATATTTGTCAAGCAAACATAATGACTAAATCTAATACTAAGAAGCCTCTACCATTGAGACAGCAGAGGGCAGCACTCACTTTTAAATATTAAGTAAAAACAGCTTTTGTGCTACTGACTCCCCTTACAACTAATATAAAAAACCAAAATCAAGAGAGCGAATTTGATAAATACCCATATGCAACATTACAGTAAATAATCAGTTCATTTTCTGTTGTTTTCCTCTTACTGGAAACTGTTGGCATTCTCTTTAACCAGGTGAAATTTTTACACAGGTTCAGACTTCCTGGTAGTGAATAAAGTAATAAAAAAATCAAATGACACTGTAACATGATTGACTCTGTCAATTCTGACTCACAACTTAGACGGTAAGAGTTTATTTATTTTGTTTTTACGCTACTGTTTTTACGCATCTACTATGAAGTCTATAATGTTTTCAGTTGCTCCCTGAAAATAAACTGGTCTGGGTGCACCTATTGGGTTGCCTGTTACCTCAAGTCTGTCTGTTCTCAGCAGTTTCTGGGCTGCAGCAGCAGCAGCGTTGGGAACTTGGCTAACGTTGGGGCTGGATGACATAAGCACAGGGGTGCTGGGCAGGATCTCTGGAGGCATCAGGCTTGGAGACATTGGGCTCAGGTAAGGGTTGAAGGCTGCAGCGGCAGCAGCTGCTGCTGCGCTTGCATTGGTGGCCAGGCCTGGTGTCATCGAAAACATGGGCTGAAGCAGGAAAAAAGTCACATTTAAAATCAATAGAAAAAAACTTGCAGAGCAAATCAATACACTTAGAAAACAGATTAAGCAAAATAGAACGCCTTGAAAAAGTATTCAAACCTAAACCTTTCAATATTGATCAATTTTTAAACAAAAACCTCAACTTCCATGTCATTGTAATTTTTTCACAGTGTTTTATTTGGAGTTGATGCACAAATAGTTTGAATTATTGTAGGTAAAAATCTAAAAAGTGTTTTGTGTGTCTGTTTTCAGCACCTCCAAAACTGATGCCCCTAAATAAATATAACTCAGTGGTATTGACTGGATTTTGAATTCAACACCTTGCATAACAGCACAGTGGCCTTTGTAAATTCAACAAATGTACGTCGTCTCACCATGGGGGGTAGCTGAGTGCCAGGCATCATAGCATTGGCGAGCTGCATCTGCTGGGCTAGCATGGCCATATTTTTCTGCTGAATCAGATTGTTCCTGCCATTGATCTCCAGCTGGGTCTTTAGATGGGGAGGAGGGTGCAGGTACTTGCAGTTCTCCCTGGAACAACGGCCCTGAGAGGAAAAAAGAGAGTGACAGAATCCTGTATTACTGACAGATGCAGGTATTGTTCCCGTGAAATGTGTAGACAAAAGGGTGAGTCTCGGCATGGATGATGCGATACAACAGGTGTCACAATATGATACTATCGCAATATTGCAATATCACTATATATTGCCATGTGTTTCCCAGCTATCAAATTAAAGGTATAGATAAAAAAACAAGTGCTTCAAATGTTCATCAGAACATACAATACTGATCATGCAGTTATTTTGGTATCCATGTTGTTCAGGGTTTGAGTCAGTCCACCTCTTCCAGTGTGAGTGCCTCATCTACAGATATGGCAAAAGGGCTCCACGGCGCCATCTACCAGAGTGGCAGTGCAGAGGTGGCCCATTTTCCCTCATTGTTTTAGGTGAAAATGTTTTGTTTATTTTAAAATCAGTACCAGGAACTGAAAGATCGATGTTATATTGGGAAGCCGAAAAATCACAAATGTCACCAAATCAATTTTCCCCTCACCCTTAGTAGACAAAAGGCACAAAGATCCTGAATAAGTGACAAAAGGTACAAACTGATGACTAAATGTGATTTAAAATACTGTCAATCAGTCTCATCTGGATTTAGTTGTCTTTAAATGGAGAACATCCTTAATGTTCCAGAACTATAATAATATCTGCCAATATAATTTATGTCTGCAGAAACAAAAAATCTACATAGATATTAAGAATATGAAAAACACTATATATCAACTTCTATTGAATTTCAATAACAGCTTAAGTTTGTATTTGGGGAATATACTCCACAGCCTTGGGGAAATAATGATTGGTCAATGTCAAACTGTCACATTCAAATTGCGCTCAGTCTGTCAGTAATTGTTAACAGATGCTATTTCTGTTCATCCCAGCTGAGACGTGTGTGCATGTGTGCAACAGCCCCAAGGGGGGGAATGACTGAAACACTGCGGTGTTTTTCTCCAGACATCATGTTTAGCCATACAACATGTCTAAGTGACACCATAAATACTCTGATATGATCACACTAGATTATCCCAGGAGTCATTCAGAGGTCAACGCATCAAGGCTTCTGGATAATCATTTAAAACTAATATGGCTTTCAGCTTGCTGCTACAAATTGTATATTTTTAGGTTTTAGAATCATCCAGCCAGATTAGTACCATTTATTTTCAATCCAGAGTGCATTCTTTCAAGAGTCATTCTCATATGACCGCTATCAGATATTTCTAGCACAGACATGAAAAACACACATTCACAACCAGGCCCACAATGCATAAACGACATGTATTTACTTTCATTGCAGCAGCACAGCTTATCTGAATGTGGCACCTATCCCTCGCTGAAAGAGCTGACCTCACCAGGATTTATCTCCGCACGCTGACGTGACTGTATCACACTCCACATTCTTCTTTTACTTTCACTGACACTGGAGCACGAGCCAGGTGCGTATAAAGGAGGCAAACAAGAACCATCGTTGATGATATAGTTGTTTTGTTTTTTCCATTTGTTTAAACCAGCCACCTCTGACTCTTCCTGCATTTCCTTTTAAGGATATTGCGGCGTGTGCAGCTAATGGGAGGCTGACACCAATTAAGAATTCATGGACTTGGATTTATGGACCTCTATATGAAGTCTATGATCTTCTGCTCGGCTTGCATTATGAATTACAGCCTACGAAGCTTGTTGTAGGGTGGTTTTCTGATAAAATCCTTTAGGAAGTGGAACATGATCCCATATATCACGTCTCATTTTAGAAGAAAAAAAAAATGTTTAATGTTTTAGCGAGTGCCTAAAGTGTCAGATAGACGTAAAAATAACACCAATAAAGCAAAAGATAGGGCTTAGTCCCTAAATATTTAGACACCCTCCCCACAAGTGTGCTTAATACCAAATATGTTAGTTGGAGCTTAGATCTGGCTGCAAAGGGAATAATAATTTAACTCTGAAGTAATGTCCCATGGTGCAAAAAAGTGTAGGGTAGTTTAAAGAAATTAACTGTAGGTGGGCGATAAACACAAAGTAATGTATGAATTAAAAAGGGAAGTTTTTATAAGGTTTTTAAAAACAAAGAACAGGAAATGATTGCATGTTTACCCTTTTGTGTAAATATGTTTCTTATTGAATAAGAAAAAAAATCACTGCATCAGCGGTGGCAATATGGGCATAGAATTTTTTCATAATGATTTGTTAATTATCATGTAATCCAAAGACGGAATTAGGAAATTTGGGGGCCTCGGCAAAAACAGGCATAAACTGAGAAGACAACACATAAAACAGGCCAATTATACAGACATTTAATTAAATTGACATATATTACTTGTTCTACTTTTTGTCCCTCTCTTCTTATTATTTTTCTTGTTGTTTGCCTCTCTATGTTTTCTTTTGTCCTCTTTTCTTTTCATATTGGCGATGTGCTCAGCTGACATTTCAAGGAGTGAAAGATTTTTCCAATCACTAAACCCATTCTCACTTAGCTAAGTGCTCCTTCCTGTGTTTCCAAAAAGGCAGAAGCAAAGGTAGATAACACAGTCCTTCTTTCCACTGTAGACAAGCCACGATCTGCTTTTCTCTTCTCCATTTTTCATTTGAATGAATGAAATAATAGCTGCATGAATCATGACAGCAGACAAGAGAGAGGTGAGCAGGAGGTGGGGTTTCAAATCTACTTGCTTTGGAGAGCAGAGTTTGGTGCTTTTATATGTTGTCGCCAAGGTCTGCAAAGTCTCCACTAACAGAAAAAAGTCACTTGATGTGGCGCTAGGCACTTTTTAAAATATAAAAGAGCCAGAGGGGTCTTACATTGCACTAGATTAAGCAACAAAAAATAAATAAATTGGCAACACTGCTCTTCGCGCCATCTGTTTTCAAATGGTTCGCTACTGTTTGGATCTTTGTGCAGATGTCCAGCAAATGGACTGATATGGTGGACAATGAAGGGGGGGATAAGACACTCTTAATATTATTAGCATTCTGATGTCATTTTGATGAAAGGATCTTGATCAAAAACCTTATCAGTGTGCACAAATAAGTAATAGCTGTATTAACTGTACATGTGAAAAAAGTTTTATGGGGCCGCCAGGAACTTGTGGTCCTAGGCAACTGCCTAGTTTTGCCTAATGGTAAATCTGCACCTGATGTAATTAATACAATTATGCAGGATTTTTCCTGACTGGATCTTTCATTGTAACAAAAGTGACGATAAGAAACTCAAACATTTCCAACTGTACAGCTTTTTTTTAGGTTATAACTTAAGTGCCGCTCTTAAAAACAAACCGAATTAAAAAAAGCTTCTCATGACCTCAGTTATCACCTAACTCCAAACAGTAACTGTTATGAATCATACTTCAAATATACTGATATTTGTTGATATTTTTGTCTAACAAACAGTGAAATAATCTGTAAAACACAACATAACTGCTAAAGCAGTTTGTTCAAATCATTAGTTTGTTTATTTTTGCTGTTTAATTCCAAATGTGTATTGTATGGAGATTTTAACAATAAAGATATAAGTGTTTTGATTAATGTCTCTGTATCTACAGTACAGACTAAAATGTTTGGAAATTCGTCTTTGCAGTTTGTTTGATCAGAACCATTCCAGTTGTATCATTAGGGCTGTTTTTCTATTGGAAGGTGAAACTTCATCCAGCCCCAAGTGCTTTTTAGGCCCTAACAGGTTTGCTTTGACTAACTTTCCATTTAACTCGGTCAAACGCTACTGGGTCCATATGTGGTATTATGAGTGGTGTTTTCCTCCACACAGTGTTTTAAATGTTCTTATTTTTCTACACGCTTCTGTCCATACCTGGACACACGGGACACCTTATAGGTTTCTTTCAACAATTAATTTCATAGTGTCCCTCCTCCTCAAAGGATGGATTTGTAGAACGCACAACTAATATTTAGGTATGGATCTCTTCAGCTTTTTTAGATTTAACATTCGTGCCATAATCTGTCCATTTTCAGACCAAACAGTGTTCTGTAAGATTTCCAAATCTTATGATATTGTTTAAAAACCTAACCCTGCTTTAGACTTCTGAAACACCACTTTATCCCCAATCTGTCTGCTGCGTTCTTTCACCATGCATGTAACTCACTAATTTCCTCTGGTAAATATAAAAACCTTTTCCAGGAACAATGTATTCCTGTTATCTGATCATACATTACAACTTGGTTCCACTGGATACATATAAAAAAGATAATATATATACAAAAATGCTGTTTATAAAAACTATGCATAGTTTTTTATCCGTTAGTTTGTGCTGCTCTATTGCATATAATTGCAATGAAAAACATGGAGGTCTGTTAATATAATAAGACAGGATGTAAGAAAGATTAATTAGACTACAGATAAGTCATATCTTTAAAGGTAGTCTTTTAAAAGCCCCACCCTCTCCACAAAAAAACGCATATGCACAATCCTGTACCCGCTTCCGAGAGAAACGGACTATTAAATGTGCGAGAGAGCATGAACAAGCCCATTTCGCCTCGTGCACGCTCTGTTTAAAAGTTGCTGTTTGCATCGCTCATGCAAGCTTACTTTCCAAAAGTTTTGCAATTTTTCCACTATGTCAGACTCACCACCGGTAAGTGAAAATGGGGAAAAGACCCTTAACCCCACTCTGCTCCCTGGGTGCCACACAATGGCAGCCCACTGCATCCAAGGGTATGAGTTAAAATGCAGAGTGAATTTTTATTGTGGGACAATAAAGATTTTTATTTTATTTTTTTTATACCTTTAAGTAGCATCATACAGATTTTCCTGAGACATCAGAACTGGGAGTAAAACAACACTTTGTAAAGAGAAAGCAATGAAATGATTCATTCTTCTAATTTGATAAACGCAGGATTTTTCTTCCTCCAAAGGGGAATATGAAACATTTTTATTATTCCACACCAGACACTTCAGAGCTCACGTTAACGTAATTTTCTGACAGGCCACATGCTGAGATGTGCAGCTCTGTGGCAAGAGAGTACAGCATGAGCATGAAAAGGGAGAA